TGAGAGTGTTGAAAAACAATGCCTCACTGACAAGAGGCAGCCTGAGGGCCCTGCAGGGAGGGTGGCTCCAGTGTGGGGAGAGCCTTGGAGTCATGGAGCCCCAGAATGTACAGCTCTGGGCCCAACTGCTCCCTGAGGTGCTGGGGCAGTGGCCTGGCTCCCTGTGTGCCTTGCCTCCTTTGTATAAGTGTGTGCTGAAGGTTCACTGCAGTTTTTCTGCACCTCAGCCCAATGTGGACGTGGGGGAGCTGCAGTGGGGCTGAGGGGTCCATCATGGGCAGTCCATCATGGGCATCCAGCTGCCACGTCTGAGCAGGAGCAGGCTGGGAGGAGGGTGGGGGTCTTCAGGGCCTGCTGGCCTTGGCAGCCCACCTGCACATACAGGGTGCAGGAAGCTGTGGCCTGGGGGGGTGGCAGGTGCCTGGTCTCGCCGACACGCCAAGTTGGCATGTTCGTGAGGCACCCTGTGGGCAGGCTTCAGAGCAGACTTGCCCAAGACCTGGCCTGAGCACAGGGTGGCGGCAGGGCTGTCCCTGGTGGATTCTGGAAAGAACAGTCACACAGACGCACAGTAGAGGAAGGAGGATCGGGCGTGCCATGTCTCTGATGGAGAAGGCGCAGCCCTGCTGGGCCCAGGTTCATTGTTGCGCAGGGCGATGGGAGGGAGACGGAGGGAAAGCCAGGCGTCCTCTGTCATCCCCTGCAGCTGCGGGCCGCCGTGCTCCCTTGGTCTCAGTGAGCCCCACCTGGCTTCTCTGGTGGAAACCTAGTTTCCTTCGGCCTCCGCAGGTGTGCAGCGTGGCCCAGGCAGCCCGGTGGTGACCTAGGCGGCCCGGTGGTGGCCCAGGTGGCCCCGGGCAAGTGTCTGTGCTCGGCTTATCTCTAAAGGTCACTGTCATCCTGCTCAGACTCGGCCGCTCCCTCCACGGAGCTGGCTGCCACGTGTCCCCTGTTCTGCTGCGCGGTCCCTGTGCCAGGTGGGAGGTGTGTGGACAGGTGGTGACACAGCTTGCTTGTGTGCAGCCACGCGCCGCGCCAGCTCAGCTCTGTGACTTCCGTGTGCCTTTCCCGGAAAGGTTCGAGACGCTTCATCCAGTCTTTAAAAACACGGCTTCCCTCTTTGTCACTGAGCTGGAGCGCGGTGTTCCCAGAACACGCCTTGGGGACCCTCCAGTGCAGGGTGCTGTAGATACCGGTGGCCAGGGCCGCTGTTCCCAGCCAGGGTGCTCAGTGAGCCGTCCGGCCCCGGGGGCTCCATTTCTCCCTCCTTCTCCCAGCCCTGGACGGCGTCTGTGAGAACCCACCCCTGGGAGAGAGCGTGAGGGGTCCGTCAGCTCGGCACACCTTCCTCTCCCACTTGATCAGCAGGGGCCGAAAACCGCTGCTTCTCGGGAGGAGATGGGTGTGTGCGGGGAGCCCGGCTGCTCCGCAGCGCCTGGCGGCCTCGTGCTGGGCTGACCGCAGCTCACTCCAGTCCACACTCGCAGTGTCGCCCCCACTGGGTAACGTGGTCAGGGAGAGTGACTGCCAGGACCGAGAGGCTCTCGCTGACCACCAGGCGTGCTCGGCGTGCACCGGCCTCGGCTGGCACCTGAGCGTCCTGGCTGTTGGCGTGTTCCTGGTGGAAACTGGGCCGTCTGTGTTAGTGAAGGCCGGTGCAGGGAGCGCCCCTCGCGGGCTGAGTCTCCAGGCTTCCCTTCGCTGTCAGTGCAATGCAGTGCTGGAGGGGTGCGGCAGCAGAGGGGCACAGAGGTGGAGGGGACGGGCGGAGGTGGCTGGGGTGGTGGGGTGGTGGAGGGGTTCGGTGGTGAAGGAGGGGTGCAGTGGGGTGGGGAGGTGGCACAGAGTGAAAGAATTTTTATTTGTTTTGAAGTAAAGTGATTTAACTCTTAGATTTCCAGCAGATTTTAAATAGTGACGCTTTCTGTCTTTTTGTTGTTGTTTGGTTTTTGGAGAGGTTTTTGCTATAAGGCGCGTGTACTCGCTAGAGAGACAGAGAGACAGAAAGTGATAAATCCCCCCCCTCCCAGGGGGATGGCGGCACCACAATCCCTTCTCCTCCATTCTCCTCTCGAGATCTTTGGTATGAATGTACATGCGTCCGGCGTGAGTTTAAGCCACCGGGTTCAGGACTTGAACCGCGGTCAGCTACATGGGAGTCCAGCGACGTAGCCATTACGCTAACTGCTGGTCCCAGTAGTGACGCCTTCTGTTTTATGAGAAGGCTCTTAGAACAGAGGGGCAGCACTGTTGACATGTCTGTCCGACAGCCACGCTCATCCGTGGAGGACTCTGCTCATCACAGCCCCGGACACTGGGTGCTCCTGGGGAGGGCTGGGTGGCGCTGGCCGGTGCTCACAGGTCCCGCGCCGTCCTTTCCTCGGCTCTCTGGCTGCACCGTCTGAGTTTGGTTCTGTGACCCCCCCACCCCACCCCGTTAGGGACAGGCCCCTGAGCCCTCCTGAGGACAGAGCTCCATGGCTACAGCGCCTGAGCCCTGAGCCGCCGTCCCAGAGGCTCCCGTGAGCTCTAGGCTGGCCAGCCTCTGTCCTCATCCCT